GTTTGTGTGTCTCTGTGCAATGCATTGTGTGTGCAACTTTTTCTGGAATTTGTGTGCAAAAAGAAATGCAGCCAAATCTACATGTTGTCCAAGCATCCTCATGGCAATCTGCTTAGAGGGTATGGAAACTATAATCTAATTAAGAACATCATGAGACACATCCTTAGAGGACATTTGAACTGTATTACAGTTGAAGACCCTAGTGCTAAATGAACTTAAAGTCACATATTTGTCAAAATCAATCTAAACTGTGACCTTTACTTATCTGGCATTAGCCAAGTGTATTGCAGGCATTTGAAATCATTAAAATGTGCCTAAGTCACTTAATTAAACAAGACAAAATATGAAAATGAACACATTATGTCAAACAAAAAGAATATTTGAACTTGATTATCTCTAAATGTGAATTTTGTGACTTTAAGTACGTTTAGCACCAAGGTCTTCAATTAGGAACAATGAAATCTCAGTGGTTATTGTCCTTAGTTCATGTGATTGCTGTTTTGGTGATTAATTGAGAAGAGGGAAACAATCACGATCATAGTTGTGTACTGCAGCATATTAAGAAACTATCTCTATCTATAGTGATGTGTGCTTATCAAACAAGCCATCATTGTCATAGTTGTACTCTGCCTCTTATAGATAAACTCTCACTATCACTAAAAGAGATGTGCCTATTTAATGAGACATCATAGCAGTGCAGTAATTATTGTTAAGTGAGCAATTTTCAAGATCTAAAAAATAATATCTATTTAACCAGAAATCATAGTGACTTACGATTCAATGAGCGATTTTTAATATAAAAAAGCTATATTTCACCAGACATCATAGTAGTACTTTGCCTTATTGTTCACTGAGCATTATCAAAACTATGTAATACAATGTACTTAAAAACCTCTGGGATAAAATATTTCATAGTCAGGATTTATCTAAACATTATGTACAACAAAGTAAGAATGATAAAATATGATTTTGAAATTAGCAAGTTTCATGTCTTTAAAAGAACTTGTGGCTCAAATGCAGTCTTTGAACCCACGGTGCAGCTCAAGAGACACTTTGAACCCACGGTGCAGCTCAAGAGACACTTTGAACCCACGGTGCAGCTCAAGAGACACTTTGAACCCACGGTGCAGCTCAAGAGACACTTTGAATCCATGGTGCAGCTCAAGAGACACTTTGAACCCACGGTGCAGCTCAAGAGACACTTTGAACCCACGGTGCAGCTCAAGAGACACTTTGAACCCACGGTGCAGCTCAAGAGACACTTTGAACCCATGGTGCAGCTCAAGAGACACTTTGAACCCACGGTGCAGCTCAAGAGACACTTTGAACCCACGGTGCAGCTCAAGAGACACTTTGAACCCACGGTGCAGCTCAAGAGACACTTTGAACCCATGGTGCAGCTCAAGAGACACTTTGAACCCACGGTGCAGCTCAAGAGACACTTTGAACCCATGGTGCAGCTCAAGAGACACTTTGAACCCACGGTGCAGCTCAAGAGACACTTTGAACCCACGGTGCAGCTCAAGAGACACTTTGAACCCACGGTGCAGCTCAAGAGACACTTTGAACCCACGGTGCAGCTCAAGAGACACTTTGAACCCATGGTGCAGCTCAAGAGACACTTTGAACCCATGGTGCAGCTCAAGAGACACTTTGAACCCATGGTGCAGCTCAAGAGACACTTTGAACCCACGGTGCAGCTCAAGAGACACTTTGAATCCATGGTGCAGCTCAAGAGACACTTTGAACCCATGGTGCAGCTCAAGAGACACTTTGAACCCACGGTGCAGCTCAAGAGACACTTTGAATCCACGGTGCAGCTCAAGAGACACTTTGAACCCACGGTGCAGCTCAAGAGACACTTTGAACCCACGGTGCAGCTCAAGAGACACTTTGAACCCACGGTGCAGCTCAAGAGACACTTTGAACCCACGGTGCAGCTCAAGAGACACTTTGAACCCATGGTGCAGCTCAAGAGACACTTTGAACCCACGGTGCAGCTCAAGAGACACTTTGAACCCATGGTGCAGCTCAAGAGACACTTTGAACCCACGGTGCAGCTCAAGAGACACTTTGAACCCATGGTACAGCTCAAGAGACACTTTGAACCCACGGTGCAGCTCAAGAGACACTTTGAACCCATGGTGCAGCTCAAGAGACACTTTGAACTCATGGTGCAGCTCAAGAGACACTTTGAACCCACGGTGCAGCTCAAGAGACACTTTGAACCCATGGTGCAGCTCAAGAGACACTTTGAACCCACGGTGCAGCTCAAGAGACACCATAAAATATTTTAAAACTAATAGTACCAGTTTTCATCTCAACTTTTTAAAAATCCATTTTTTTATCTTAAAAAAAACTAAATAAAATTAATTACAATTCTCTACACAGGTTGGTACAGTTAGTTTAAAAATCAGCTTTTTGAGGCAAATTATTCTCATTATCATCATCACATGAGACAAAATGGATGATACTCAAGTCATCTTCCTATGTTGGCAACAAGACTATAACAACTTCAAAGAAATAATTTTTCTATCAAAATCTTGCAACATGCTTTGACGCACAGGTTTAAAAACTACCTTACAGAGAAGCATAGGTACTTTATGAGTCTTTTGTAGACAGAGGCTGACCTAACGCAATGCACATTTTATAAGTATCGTTTTGATTTAAAAATAAAACATTTTCACAGATGTAGACAGTTGAGCAAACTGAGATTTCCTTAAGCCGGCAACTGATGAAAACCACAAATAATTACATCTTCCATAAATATTCAATTAAAATATCTCTTTTGAAAGTAATACATCACAAATCATAATTCTAAATTATTGATGTTCAACATTTTTCAGTTCACAACACAAAATGTGCCTTTTTTTTTCATTATTAATCACTCAAATGTGGGGACAATATTTTTGGCAAAAATTCTCACCCACCAAAGTCAGAAGAAACCTGCTCACGTGGTGTGTCATTAAAAATCAGCTCTCTACACAAAATAGCAGTATCTGTCCAAGTTAGATTACAACCTGCTCACGTGGTGTGTCATTAAAAATCAGCTCTCTACACAAAATAGCAGTATCTGTCCAAGTTAGATTACAACCTGCTCACGTGGTGTGTCATTAAAAATCAGCTCTCTACACAAAATAGCAGTATCTGTCCAAGTTAGATTACAACCTGCTAACGTGGTGTGTCATTAAAAATCAGCTCTCTACACAAAATAGCAGTATCTGTCCAAGTTAGATTACAACCTGCTCACGTGGTGTGTCATTAAAAATCAGCTCTCTACACAAAATAGCAGTATCTGTCCAAGTTAGATTACAACCTGCTAACGTGGTGTGTCATTGAAAATCAGCTCTCTACACAAAATAGCAGTATCTGTCCAAGTTAGATTACAACCGACAGAATAAACCTGTAATGTTGTTTTTTTAAAAATGTTTATCAAGATATTTGTCAAATTTTAAAAAATTAACTGTACTATATTATTAATATGAAATCTCTGAAATATGTGTGCTATGTTCCCATTGGATATTTCCCCTGTTTTCTGTGTGTAATGTTAAGCATTGCTTTTTATATTGTACAGGCATGATAGAAACTGTTTCCTGTTGGTAGACAAGAACTTATGACCATCAACTTGGGGCTACTAAAGGTTTTTAAGAACACATTTTATGGCAGAGATAAACATAAGACATTTTATCACAGAATTGTTTTCATTACAGGTCATATAAATAGCAGTTTAAAAAATTTGAACAAAATACATATGATCATGATGAATGCATGAATCTGAAGCACGGACTTCTTACATACACAGAATCCCTAGTGAGGGACAGCAAGACATGATGAAGTGTAGAGGACAGAAATTGGTTTAGAGCGACAGGAAGTTCAATGCAAGAAATGTAATAATAGCAATAAGCAATAAACAACAGGCACGGTATAAGTTATATTATTTTAACAAAGTTAAGCTGTCTGCCACAAAAAAAAAATAATATGCATATAAATTATTATAAACGTGCAGACACATTTCTCCTAAAGATGTAATTAAATCAGATATGAACAAAAAAATTTTTTTCTCTGCGCTATGCTGATGTCAAGCACATAAGATTACATAGTTAGGTCAACTTCAGCTTGGCAGGGAAACATAAAGTTGGGAGTGCACAGCAAGCAACCTGCTGCAAGAAAACAGCAGCTTTGGAAATAGTGTAATATGAGGAGGACTGCATTCAGTTTGGAAGCATTAAGAAATATACTACACAGGGACATGACAGCTAACAATTCTCATAGGCATTCAGCACTCTTTGGTCACACTCTTTGATCCCACTCTTTGTGCACTATGGTTTATTTACAGTACAAAATTCTGACATGCCAGGATATTCAGTTCTCTGAACATGTATCATGCAAATTAATTATGTACAGTGTATGTTGGCAAGGAAACAAGGCATCACTATATTGGAAAATTTTGAGTCCAGTCAAAACAAAAAAGCACATCAAAAATAAAATGACATAAAAATTTCTGATCAAATCTTTGAAACAAAACTTTGGCAATAATTTTTCATACGGAACACTTTTCTCATTTAGCTCAGACCTGTTTACTCTTACAATTTTGTCGTACAATGTATGATTTTGAGTGTGTGCATTATATACACTGTGTGTTTTTTTACTGTTAAGATAATGTATTGAACGATTATGTGATGATATTGTACGATTTTAAGAGTTTTGGGGTAAACAGGTCTGTTTAGCTTCATAATAATATTGTGTGAGATGGCTTATTTTTCCCAGAACAGCATTTAGCTGGCCAGCTCATTTGAAAACAAGACCTGGCACAGTGCAATAGGGAAGGATCTACGCAACCGACCCTGCAGGGCCGAATGAATAATAAAAGTCATGGATTATCCATCGTTTTGATTATACGGGCCATCCACACCCGGTTCAGAACAAGTCTGGATATTTCTTGGGTGTTTTTATTTTTTTTCATCTATTCATCAGAAAATGAAAAAAATCGTTTAAAAGATGAGGTGACATTAGAGAACACATCATTGTCTTCTCCTGGATGTGTTGTGCCTTGCTGGTCATTGCCTGTGGCAGTCTGGGATGGTGTCTCCTGTTGTTTCCCTTGATCTTGCGGCAGATCCGAGAGGGACACTGACCGTTTGTCGCTCAGGTTGCTCAGCTCCACTGAGGAGATCTTCTCTTGATGTTTCTTTATGTACCGTCCGCCTGCGTAACCTGATGGACATAGCCAGATTTAATAAAGTTTACTGAGAACATGAGAGTTGCCAATATGGAAAAAAGGGGTCGCTCATACAGGATGTTTGAAGGGGGGGGGGGGTAAAAGTGGGAAGGGGGTTGTAAAGGATCTTGCGGATGTCCACAAGCAAGAATTTTTGTAATATGTTGCTTTAAGGCCATTGGTGAATTCCAGCATGTTTAAAAATTTTAAGCGTGTGGACGTCCTATATGGCGGATATATTTGTGAAATAATTATAAACTTTAAAAAACCGAGACCTTAACCCATTCGCTACTAACCACTAACACCAAAACACACCCTGAAATACTAAGCAAGGGGAGATCACTCTCAAAAACATGCACCCCATGTTAAATAAAAATGTTTTTAAACAACTAAACATCAATTTAAAATGACAAGACATACATTAAAAAATAGAAAATTGGATTACCTTTCTAAAAATACATAGGTTTGTATACTTTAATTGACAAATATATTTTAAATAAATTCTGGAAAAAATGTTTTCAAATTTACACAGCTTTTTCTTAGCGTTGACCCCCCCCCCCCATTGTTTGTCATTTATTATTGTTTAAGTGTTTCGTGGAACTTTGAAAAGCAGTAGCCCTTATGTAGGTGGACCTGACATAAATGACAGCCCGTTGTTGTCTCTCTGGTTCTACCGCTGTCCATTTTGTTGCCATCAACAGAGCACTGGTAGCACCTTCGTTTGCGGCCAGGCATTGGGCTTAACATGTGCTGGCTGTTGTACGGGCTGCATCTGCCAGAGACACTTGGTGTGTCAGGTTGCCTGCTTTGTGTAGCTCCAGTCAAAAGCTGGTCCAAAACAGCTTTTCTAAATAGCAGATGATTTTTGGCAGGAGAGTCTGCGGCATCTGTTGGTTTGGCGCTTTTCATCAAGAGAAAGCTGTTGACCATTGAGAGGTCTATGATGTACCAAAAGAGATACCTCCACCACTTCGTAGATGCTCTTCCCACAGGATAGTAGGCACGATGTTGGTCTGACAAGTCAACACCAAACATACCAGAAGAAAGCTGTTGACCATTGAGAGGTCTATGATGTACCAAAAGAGATACCTCCACCACTTCGTAGATGCTCTTCCCACAGGATAGTAGGCACGATGTTGGTCTGACAAGTCAACACCAAACATACCAGAGTTGTAGTTGACAACAGGCATTGGGATCTCTGTGTCCACCATTCCATGTTTCGACCGGCGTTGCACTGTGGTAACCACCGGGTCAGAATTTGTTGAAAGTATGTTGACTTGCCGTTTGTCAGTCCATTGTGTGGCAACCATTAGACCCTTCTGTTTAATTTTGACACTACCCCTCTTCTGTTTTGATTTGGGTAGTGGCCAGCCTTTTCTGTTAGGTCTAATGGTTGCACAGCTGTACGTCTTCCGTTGTAGGAGGTCCTCTGCGAGTTTGGGGGAGGAAAAGAAGTTGTCAAAAAAAACTTCATGGTACCTATCCAGGTATGGTTCCATCATGTTCATGACAACATTATATCCGAGTCCATGCTCTGATGGATTGTTATTTTTGCCGGTATAGACTTGGAAGTTAAGAATATAACCGGTTTTGGCTTCTGCGCAGCACCAAATTTTGATGCCCCATGGAGTTGGCTTGTTGCTCAAGTATTGTTTGAAGGATAATCGGCCACGAAATCCAACCATTGCCTCATCCACTGACAGCTGTCATAACCGGTTTTGGCTTCTGCGCAGCACCAAATTTTGATGCCCCATGGAGTTGGCTTGTTGCTCAAGTATTGTTTGAAGGATAATCGGCCACGAAATCCAACCATTGCCTCATCCACTGACAGCTGTCGTTGTGGTTTATACGCTGTTTGGCACACACTCCTAATATGGTCCAGTAGGGGTCTGACTTTGAACAGGGGATCATAGTTGACACTAGTTTTGGCAGGAGTGAGTTCGCTGTTCGTGATATGAAAATATTGACGTATTTTTTCATATCGGGTGCGCCCCATAACATCTGCAACTGCAGGAACCCTCCATAGTTTGTCACTGGACCAGTACAATTTAGTAGTGGGCAATTTATGGAGCCCAAACATAATGTTGATGTATAAAAATTTGTAAATGTCCTCATTAGTGACGGCCTTCCACTGAGTGTCTTTTCGGCCCTTAGCAGTCTGCTGTTGCTCAGCATATCTGTTGGTTTCCACTACAATAATTTCCACCATGGCATCGGTCAAAAACAGTTTGAAATAGTCAATTGGATTGCTTTCAATAGGAAGGTTATGGATGCCACCTTCTATCTCACGAAATATTTCCATCTTATCTGTTACACTGGTCAAATTGTCTGACCAAGACTCAGTGACAGTGTCTGGGTCGCTATCATCAACGTCACTTTCATCGTCATTATTTTCTGATTCTGAATCTAATGCGTTTGGATCAATATCAATGTCTGATTCATCCTCATTGTCAGAATTATTATCTACCTGATAATTAGAAGTGGAGGCAGCAATCAAAAAGTCAAGAAATTGAAAAGCCATTGCAAAATAATTCACAAAACAGAGTCACAAATTCGCTAAGCTTAGACCGACTTTAACACCACGCAGCTTTCAAACCGTAAATGGTAGAAACATCCGTTTTTTTTAAACGGAAGCAGCTCTATTCCCACTTCCTTAAATCCCCAAAGCTATTCGCAAGGCAACAATGCTTCTCGCGATATCGTATGTTATGTGTACGTTGCTAGGCGTCATGACCCATTCGGTCGCATTAGTAGCGAGGCGGGTATGTCGCATTTGGTCGCAATAGTAGCGAATGGGTTTACTAAAAACTTCATGAGGGAAATAATTTCGGTTGCTGTTGGTCAACAAATGTAAACAATATGAGTTTGGGGTTTTAAAACATGTTCTCTAAGTCACAGGCCTGGTTGACTGATGGAATGACTTTATGACTTAGAGTTTAAATCTAGTGACTGTGCTCTTTATAACCATGATAATACTTCCTGGCTTTTCGCATTCTATGCAGACAACAGCAACTGGGAGGGTGGGTAGTTTGGAAAAGCTTTTTTTTTTTTGCTGACATCCTTGTATGATGCGATGTTATGAAACACATGGTGCGATAGGTTATACAAATATGCGTGACAGACTTGACGATGTCGAGCTTTGTCCTACCTACAACTCCTCCAGCAACACCTGCAACACTCCCAAGCTTCAACCCCGCCACAAAACCTATTGGTCCTCCAACAACACCACCGACGACAGCACCAACTACTGGCAGCAGGGCAGACTTGTAACTAGCAGCCTACAGACAGAGAGCAACTTTAAGTTTATAAATTGATGAATGCAACAGTTTTTTTACCAATCACATCAAAATGAAAAAAAAAAAAAAAGGTTCATTGGGTTGATTGGTTGGATAGCCTGACTAGAGAATTTCAGATGATAGGAATGAAATGTAAATATTTTTAAAGTTCTGCAAAAGAGAAAAATTGACACAAATCCTTGAATAAGGTGATCCACAAGTGAAAATATTAACCTTTTTTTTTTTTTTAAATTGAAAAAAAAATTATTTTATTGTAAAAAAATAATATAATAAAATTGTAAAAAAATTTTTAAATATCTTTTAAAATGTACAATTATCATTAAGGTTTCAATTTTAGGATCATATAGATGAGACATATTGAAAATGTAAACTGTAATTTGTGTGAGGATGAGGAGTTGACACAATGGAGAAATCGTGTAGACCACAAGAAATGTTAAAATCTTGACCTGACCTTGGCCAAGTGTTGAGTTCCTTCTCTGATGTTCTGATGGCTGCTCTCAATGTTTTCTTCAATATTTGTGATTATCACCCCTTGTTCCTGATGTGGGGGACAAACAAAATTAAAAATGATCATGCAAAAGTTGGTTCATAATTTATCGTAGCAGCGGTCTGCCATGACTTCGTAAAAAAAAAAAGGGGGACAAAAAAAAACAATTAAAAATATTGGAATTTAAACCAAAGAGAACAATACAAATATTAGCTAAGATAATCTCTGAGTTAACAATAGGGTTAAGTAGGAACAATGAAATTTAAAAGAAGAAATGTTGTTCATGCAGTTACAGGTATCCAGTACAGAAAGTTAATTCATGCAGATATATAAAGTTATTTCATGCAGGGATAGGAAGTAGGTTCACACTGGTCAAGGAAGTTAGTTAGCACAAGAATAAGACGTTAGTTCATACAGGTACTGGTATAGTAAGTTAGTTCATACAATTACTGGTGTAAGAAATTAGTTTTCACAAAATGAAAAATTATTCTGTGATACGAAAAAAAAGAAGTAGATATATTATCTTTTTAAAATAAATAACAATGGCCAACACAAAAATTGGTGTTTTAAGTGTTAGACCTGCTTCTAGATATATTTGACCCACTCATTCTAAAAAATGGCACCAGATTTCCCATATCAGCTCCAGTTTTTGACATACTGAACATGTGTCATTTTTAAACATGACGTCCCTATGTGATGAGCATTGAATGCTTTATTAAATGCATTTGTAAACTTTTATCAGACAGGTCTAGATTTATTTACAATTGCAGTAGAATGATTCTAATTCTATCTTGTGTTACTAAAGCTGAAAAGTTTATTATTTTCCTCCAGCTACCATTATTTCTTCGAAGGCCGTCAATCTTTACTTGCCCAATGTTCATGTTTGGCTCTACATTCCCAAAAGACATAAAACCCAAGGATACCAGAGCAGCCCCTTAGTAACAAGGGGGGAGAGAGGGGGCGGGGGGAAGGGGAGATAGTTTCAAGTCTACACATATCACCCAAAGATTTTTAAAATATTAATTGATCTATTTTCAAAGAATAAAGAGATGGCGTGTATTCTTTTTTCATCCTCAGGATTGACCGATATGAAAAAAGAACCCTATTTGATGCCATTTATTAAAAGAATACATTTCAAACTATTCTTTGACAGTCTATGACAGCAAACACTCAAGTTATTCTCTGAAACAAAAAACGTGCTTCATAAGGTTTCTGATGCCAATGAACAATACTAAATATTTGTCTTCTGTAAATGAAATACTAATATCCTTCTATCCCCTGTAATGTTTGTTCCAGGCTGAAGTGCATTTTTCCCCCCAAGTCTGGAAGCAAGCATTCATCTGCTGGAGCAACTGCTATGTATACATTTCGCATACATAATGCGGAGCCCATGGCTTCTCTTGATTCCAAAATAACCTGTAGTATGTTCGTTTTTGTTTCAAACCCTTACAGATTTCCTATGTGTTGCAATTAAAATATGTGTGCAGCTTTTTTAACCGATCGGGTGTTTGGAAGACTCAGACATGATTTGACATCTCAGTCTCTGGCAGATATTTGGCTAATAAAGCAGACTAAAGTTGATTTCGTCACTTCACCTTATCAATTTTATTGCATCACAATTTGTAAAAGGTGATTAGACAAATGTCCTTAAACACACGCACACCAAATGTTGGTCATTTAAATACAGACATTTCACATTCAAACTGATTTTTTTTTTTTCAAATATCCTTATTCAACAAAATTGACCTTATAAATATGTAGTGAAAGTTAATTCTTAATGAACTCATGATTATCTTAACAACTAGAGCTGTTGTGATAAATACAATGCAATATTCAGAATCACTGCCCCAAATAACACTAGGAACAGACCTCAAGTTTCAAGGCATCAAGAACTAGGTTGTTGTTTTTTTGTGGGCCTTTGTACTCTAAATTAAATAACTATCAACAGAAGTATGAGCTCATTAGAAATTTTTTTTTTAAATTTGATACAGTCTTAAAAAAATAAAAACAATGAAAACTTTGCAACAAACCTCAACTCTATCGGAAAATTGATGCACCAAGCCATTTAATTCCATGATGTTCTGAAGCAAAAAAACAAAAACATGCAAGGTCTTTGAATGCATGTGTAAATAAACTGCATTTTGTAGCCATAGATATATATTTTAAAAAATGTTTAAACAATGTTATAAAAAAAATTTTGTCCATCGACAATGCATTTACTAAGTGCATTTTTAATAATGAACCCATCTAGAAGTAAATCATTGCTAACATTCTGATTGGTCAAAAAATTTAATATTTTGTTCTCACTTCCAAACTATTTACTGGTCATCTCTAGTTTTGGTAATTATTTTAACACTTAAAAATTTTAATTCTTAAATTTTGTACCTCCTGCAATTCTTCCCATGAGGCAGATGCTTCAGAGTTTTGAGGTACCACGTGCAATACCAACTCTTGTCTTGAAAACTCAGCGGTTAAGCTACCATACGGTGGGTGTGTATCATCGTGTGCATCAACCGCATCTTCAAGGCCTTGTGTTGTGCTGGTGTGTACTCTCTCAGGTGACCTGGGGACTGCCTGGTGTGCCTCTTGTGTGATTTTGTCTCCAGGATCGTGTGACCCATGGGGAAGATCTGAAATATCAATAAAAGGATACATATAACGACCATAAATGTCAAGCTAACACTTATCCTTGCTGATTGAAACTGATTTCAGATAATTATGCAAAGATAAACTTAAACAAATTTGAAATAAACCAATTTTTTCTTTTTTGTTGTTGTCCTTAACACATGGAGTAAAATATCATGAAGCTTTTGAAATAAAACACAGCATTCTACAATTTTTAAATCCTAAATTTGTAAACAGAAATTTTTTCTACCAAAAATCAATCAAATGTTATAAATGCGATTCTAATCCTGGTGACCTGTTCTTGCATTTTGGTTGCCAGCAAACTTTAAAAACTCTTTCATGGCTTCCAGTGCTTTGACCTTGACGTCTTTCACCCTTTGGTCAAAATGAACCAGATCCTCATCTTTCACCTGTTCAAATAAATTATCAGGGTCATTAAGATAAGATAGGATTCTTCTTGTGATTAAGCTGTGGTAGATTTATTTGTGCTACATAACTTGCTTTCTTAAAGCAGTCTTTTTCAATATATAAAAATTATTTTAAAAATCACTTGCATCACTAAATTAGTTTGAAATATTAAGCACTTTTTTTTTTTTTACTGCAGTGCCACAAATTTTAACCAAAGACAATTTATTAACTGGTGTTCTTTGAAAGTTTTTCGTAGTACCTCATGTGACAAACCTGATTTCATGTCACAAGCCTGATTTCATGTCACAAGCCTGATTTCATGTCACAAACCTGTTTCATGTCACAAACATGATTTCATGTCACAAATTTGATTTCATGTCACAAACCTGATTTCTAGCTTTTTCAATTTCACGAATGTTTGCTTCAATTTGTTGAATTGTACGAGATGCATTAACTTGCTCTTTATGTAAGTTGTTCCAATCTTCAGCATTGGTGAGCTTGTGGGGGAAAGAAATAAAAAAATTAATATGCAATGTAGTCTTCATAATCATTCTTAACAATATTTTATTGTCCATTTTAATAATAAATTAGAAATGATAATGAATGCAGACTCTTACCCTAGTAATGCTGACTGTGTGTTTATATAATCTGTCCAAATCAATATCAAGAACCTTTACAAATTTTTTAATCGAAAGCTCCAGTCTATTAATTGAGTACTTTGTCATTTCGCCACCATCTTTACTCATCTCTTGGTCGTCTGGGTCAAAGCTAGACATTGTTGTTCGGTTCCTTTAAGCCTAAAAAAAATCATAAAAATGTAGAATACTAATTAGTAAAACACTATAATTGTATTGATGTCACAAAAGGGCGTTTGATTGGTAATCAGTTTAAAAAGTGATGGCGTAGCCTAAGTGTTAATGAGACCAGCCTATATCTACTTCTGGTGAATTATACAATAATTTAAGTCGGTGGTTCTCAACTATCTTATCAGTCTGCTCAAGTTTCCTGCAAGTCTGAATAGCTTTATTTTAAATTAAATATTGCTGTCACAAGAGTTCAAGACTTTCTATATAACTAATGATAAGATAAACATTCACACTGCTTTTACCAGAACAGATTGCTATCACAAGAGTTCAAGACTTTTTATATAAATAATGATAAGGTGAACATTCATACTGCTTTTACCAGTACAGGACTGGTTTTTGGACATTTGTCCAAATAAGTCGTGAGTTCTAAACCTATATAGTTAAAGCCTTCAAAATCAAATCATTATTTTATTATTATAGATGATATATTTACAAGCCAAGACATGGAATACTTTATTAACTATATGTAAATATTAAGGTTTTTATCTCTGCTACATCTCCAACCTGTGAAATGTTTGTTTCCATGAAGACCACTAGTTTGAATCTTTTAAGACAGGGGTGGGCAAACTATGGCATGCAGCCCTGCACCTGATATTATGGGGCCCTCAAAGACATTTAGAAATTAACAAAAATTACATTGTTTTTTAAGTTATTTTGTTGAATTTTACAGAATTTCATGTACCGTTATGATTGTTTTAACATTTTTGATAAACTTTCTTTCTAGTTTTCTAGTTTTTTTAAACAATCCTTGACTTTTTTCATATAGGCCTAATACTACAATGCAAATTTACAGATTTTAATATAGAGAAATGTTTATCGACATGTAAAAATTGGACATAATAGGCTATACGTGCGGGCCCCCCAATAGCTTTACATTTGTCAATGTGGCCTTCAGCACAAAAAGTTTTACCACTCCTGCTTTAAGACAACTTATAAATTTATAATAAAAGATAAATTATAGCAATATAGACAATATAGTGTCCTTGAACTTTAAATTTAGTATCACAACTTTGTCATCTTCTTACTACAGAATAAGGTTATTCAATGTTTCGTTGAGGATTGTTTTGTTTCTATTGTTAACAGGCCTTTTTAATATGAATAGTCTTTACTAATTTAACATATAAAAAATTGATTTGGCCTCACTAATTATTAATATTAGCTAGCTGGGGGCAAGGCAACCATGTTGCGCGTGTAAAATACAGGAAGAGGTGCCTAATTTCAAGGGATTTATTATTATAGTTCAACCACTGTTACAGATTTTTTACTCAGTAACTCCCTTGGGGCGGGCAAGATCCACTCAGAAAACTATTATTATAGATCAGATAGTACTTTGCTAGCTTGACTTAGGATAAAAATTTACACAGTACAGGCCTTAATATTTATTCATATTAATAGTAGGCCTACTTTACTAAAGGGTATATATTAAAGAAATTGATCAGGCCTGCGTAGAATCCTTAAAATCAAGTGGTTTCACAAACTCCTGAATACAGCAGTGAGGGAAATAACTACACAAATTTCAGTGTGGCAAGAAATTATGAAAGAAGGGGGACACGGAAAGGCCATACCTAGAGCCATCATGTGGGCCTAGGATACTTAAAGGGCCCAAATTTATGATGAGGGGAAAAAAATTAAGCCATCAACTATTAATGTAGGGGCTAAAATTTATAAACTATTAATATAGGGGCTAAAATTTATAATTATTAGTAGCTGGGGGACATCCAAAAATAAAGTGACAGTCCAATGGGAGCCGGGTCCGAATAGCGGCGATCAATGTTCCCTCTAAGGTTTGCTAGTTCGTGTGCAAAATCATATAGTTGTGTGCAAATTTTTACAGCATCATTTTTTTTTGTGTGCATAATTTACAGCCCACAAATACAAACACACACTTACATGGAAATTTGCTGCGCGGATACTCAAAACTGCTGTGCTGTATCTGTGAGATAACTATGTGGCCGCGCAGCTTAAAGGGAACATTGGCTGCGATGCATGTCTGGTTCAATTTTGACTAATTTAGTGGGATGTGATTTGTGGTAGTTTATTTTAGTTAAACTGAAGAATAAATAAGGTTTACAAACATTATAGTCCTTTCAATTATCTTTCATTTGATACCAAGTTTTATCTTACAAACCAAACAATAAGATTTTAAACATTTTTTAATCTCAACCTCTCACTTCTTGTAGCCGGGTCCCAATAGCCACTTGGACAAAAGAAAGTCAGAAAAGACTTAGATTTAGATTACTTTCATTAAATTAATCATTAATTTTTAGTAATATAAAATATTATTGGAAGATATTATTTGATTGGAAACTTTATACCCGGAAGCATTACGGCAGTTAAATATGAAACAACTTAACAAGTATTAAGCTCTGATCCCGTCAATACAAGTAGAATGTAGCAGGTAGGTAAAGTAAGTAAAAGTGCAGACTGAGACTGCTATACAGCAGGAGCGTATTTTTTTTTCTTAACGCATTTCGTTAGGCCCGCATTTCTTATGTAAACTTACGTGTATTCTTTTTTAAATTAAATCCAGGCAGTAATAGTTAACTAATACTGAATTATACAGCGCTTAATTTTCTTTTTATTTGATTTCTAAAGCGTTTGAACATCCCACAACCAAAGGTACACAGCTCCATTTGTTTTGTTGTTGTTTTTTCACCCTATTGCCAGATTTTTTTTTTAACCACCTATATGGTGGTACGCTAAACGAAATTTTGAAACTGTAGATATGTTTACAAAAATAATGAAATGCTGGGGGGTGGGGGGAGGCTGGGTGTGAACTTAATTAGATGTTCCGGGAAAGGGGCCCCAAATTTTTTTTTCCTTATTTGAGATGCATAAATATAATTCCAAACAAAGGCTCCTGCTTGGGTGAATCGATCTAGATCAAACTTAGAATACAATACACTTGATTATCCATATTCAAATACCGGTAGCCTACTGATTAACACACAATATTCTGGTGAAGATCTGAGATTACTCTCTTATGAACCCAGCTAGTACATTGACTATCAGCTAGAGACCGACCGAATTTCGGCTTCGGTGCCGAAAGTGGCTATTTTATCACTTTCTGTCAAGTTTAGGTTTCGGCCGAAACTGAAAAGTTAACTTTCGGCTTAATTTCGGTTTCGGCCGAAAGAGAAAAGTTAACTTTCGGTTTTTCTTCGGTTTCGGTCGAAATTGACTTAGACTTTCGGCCATCTGCCGAAAGTGACTCAGGTTTTCGATCAATCAATACTCAGCGAAAGCGATATTTAACAACAAAGTACGCGACAGTTCAGAACAAATTAAGCGATCTTTGAGAACAATTAAATGATATTTAACAACAAACTAAACGACATTTATGAACAAACTAGACGATCTTTAAAATAAACTAAGGGATCTTTAATAACAAACTAAACGATCTTAAAGAGCAAACTAAACGATTTTTAATACCGAACTAAATGATCTTTAAGAACAAAACAAATGATCTTTAATAGTAAACTAAATGATTTTTAAGAATAAACTAAGCGATCTTTAACAGAAAACTAAATGCTCTTTAGGAACAAACTAAATGATCTTAAGGAACAAAATCAATTATCTTTAACAACAAACTAAGCGATCTTTAACAACAAACTAAGCGATCTTTATCAACAAACTAAACGATCTTTAAGAACAAATAAACCGATCATTAACAAAAACTGGACGATCTTTACCAACAAACTTAGCGATCTTTAAGAACAAATTAAACGATCTTTAACAAAAAGCCAGGCGATCTTTATGAACAAACTAACCGATCTTTAGATCTCGCTCCTTTTGTGATCTTGTTCCCGGTGAGATCTCGCTCCTTTTGTGATCTTGTTCCCGGTGAGATCTCGCTAATTCTGTGATCTTGTTCACGGTGGGATCTCGCTCCTTTCGGGATCAGATGCCCCGGTTGGCACCCGTTAAGAAGACCCTGGGTAGCGTTATTTTAATTACAATTAAGTGATAGAAAAACCGAAACCTGTTTCAATATTTTAAGCGAATAGAGACATGACATAGGTGTCCGGGGTAAATGATCTAGTAGGAGAATGTTGTCTCTAATAATGTAGCAAGTCAATTACCGTGGGATATAATTGTTTGGTAGCCAATCGTATCGTGAGGGCAGAGGCGTAGCGTGGTGGGGGCAGGGGGGGACAGATGTCCCCGGGCGCCAGCTAGTTAGGGGCGCCAAAATGTGCTTTGATATTATTTTATTGATGAAAATAATGGGTTTGAGAGTTGAAAAAAAAAAGAAAAAGAAAAAGGGGCGCTAAAATGGATCTTGTCCCCGGGCGCGAATCTTGTCCCCGGGCGCCAAACACCCTCGCTAGGCCACTGCGTGAGGGCTACACATAAACTAGAGGTTTGGGGACGCTGTACATATGAAGGAGATCAGTTGAGACGATGCAGTTGACCTTTGAGATGATTTAGTTGAACAGAGTACATCTTGGCTGGCTAGACCCAGAAGTTACTGAAGACAGAGACGAATGGAGGAGGATGGTTCACATGTCATCTGTGGCGCCCCAACGGTCCAAGGACTAAGGGGCATGATGATGAGTTGAACAGAGTACATCGTGGCTGGCTAGACCATGAAGTTACTGTAGTGTTCGGTAAATTTCGTAGGTGACACTCTTTTTGCCGACAATGCTTCACTTCGTGTATTACTTTGTTCGGTACTGTTGAGAAAAAAATGTTTCCTTTCTTTGCTGCATCCACTCATCGCTGGGATGTTTCACTTGAATTCACTGGGATGTCGGTGAAAAGACTGTCCAAAACACGTTGGAATGCTCATTAATGCTGCTGTTAAAACAGTGAAAGATGATTTTGATGAATGTGTGGTGGCGATGGAAGCTCTTTGTGATCCTCTCGAAAATTTGGATACAAGAGGTACAGAACAAGGTTCTTTTTTTTACATGCTGCCTGTGATGTCACGTTTATCTGCTACGTTTACCTTTTGGTCGAGCTACTTGAGGAAGTTAATCTTATGCAGCAGTATCTGCAGACTAAAGGCTTTACTATTGGCATAGTGTTGACAAACCTAGAGGCCTTAAGATTGTTATTGCACGAGAAGCGCTGTCACTTGGTGGAACATGCTATTGAAAATGCACTTTTAAAATAAGACCAATTTGGAATTTTGGTAGACAAAAGATTACGGTTTAAGAAGAGAATGGCGGGAGAAGAAGTAACAGATGCTGGACTCTCTCTGTGAGAAGAACACAGTAAGGGAGATGCTGGAGTGTATTGATCGCTTTCATTCTGAACCCCAGATCAGATCATCAGCGATCAAGGAAGTAGCAGATATGTTTGGGGCTGTTCAACCCAAGAGCCTACTATTCAGCAAGTGAAGAAGAGTTATTGGTGTCTGTCCCAAAATTAACCTCTCACTATGAGGAGTTATCAGAAGATGAACCTTTAAAAGAAATACCAAGGCTTAGAGGACACCTACAGGCAGCTGATATTGAATTTTCAAAGGCATGGACTGGTCAGTATTTGATGTTTTGAAATTCATAGCTGAATGGGACACAAAGGCATGGACTAGTCAGTATTTGATGTTTTGAAATTCATAGCTCAATGGGACACAAAGGCATGGACTGGTCAGTATTTGATGTTTTGAAATTCATAGCTCAATGGGACACAAAGGCATGGACTGGTCAGTATTTGATGTTTTGAAATTCATAGCTGAATGGGACACAAATTCATGGACTGGTCAGTATTTGATGTTTTGAAATTCATAGCTGAATGGGACACAAAGGCATGGACTGGTCAGTATTTGATGTTTTGAAATTCATAGCTGAATGGGGCTACCTAGAATCTCTTCCAATACCCGGTACTCTCTCGCTAAGCCTGCAACTGTTTCTTGATGCCTCCCCCCCCCCCAACCACAGCAAACAGCACACTGCTCAAAGAAGTAACTCTCCAAATAGCATAATCATACCATTTATGGGGACATTAGGGAAATGGTACAAGTGTGGAGAGGAAAGTTCACTTTCAGCTTAACCGCAACACTCCTAGTTTAGTGGGGATTTTTTGTTGTCATGGCAGAATTATGATTTGATTTTGTCGGATCATCAAGATTTGTTTCATCAAAATATAAGAAAGTTATTCAAAAATTTATTTTGTGTTTTTTCATGAAGTTAAAGTTTTGCTGTTTACTTTTGAATGATTAGTTATGGAATGGGAAGAGAAAACGCCCAAAGTCATTGTGTTTCATATTGAATGATCATAAGAGAGTTGGACTGGGATAAAGCTTTAAAGTAGATTATGCAACAGTATTGTTAGGCACAAAAAAATGGTGTAAATAAAACAAAATAATTTAAATAAGTATAAATTAATTAAATTTACCTAATATTTACTTATTTAATTATTTTATTTTCTTTGTACTGATGAAGGCATTTGCCGATACGTTTACATTTGTATATTGTAAAACATAGTGTGATGCACTCTAAAGCTGAACATATATTGTTTTATTTACACAAATTGTTTGTATCTAATTAATCTTTTTTTATATTGAAAAACAAAAACAAACAAAATTTTTTTTTTAAAACATGTTATAACAACAAAAAACAAAGATTAAAAATCAAATTTATTTGTTTAACTTAGTATTTATAAAATTTACATGCTTTTAAAAACCAAATGGATTTCTTGATCACCATAAAACATAACACAGTATTAAGGATATATATATATATATATATATATAGTCTTCGAAATCTATATAAATAAGCAAGAAAGTGGGTAATCATAACACTTCACACTATAAAGCAATCGAAATGGAATGTATACACAATAGAAAATATATTCCGATCTTTGATGGTAGCTCTTGGTTTTTTGTTCACTATAACCACCAGCCGTTAATGGCAACCTAACAAAAAACAGCAGTAAAAAGTAAACTTTATAAAACAGATTCATTTTTAACCAAGTCAAAGTTAAAAAAATACAAAATTCTCACAGAGAGCATTCGCAGAAGTAACACTATATAAAATTTCGACTTTCAATGAGTAAAAAAGGGGGGGTGGGGGGGGGGGGGGGAATCAGATTTTTAACATTGATGAATGACATACACAATGCAGCGTGATGCACTCTAAGATTACTGGCACTTGATCAGAGAGTCAAACAAAAGATAAAGAGGAAGAAGCTTTTGACAGCAGAGCCCATGCTGTTGTGGAGTGAGGGGAACGTGCCATATATTGTGGATACGGTGGAAACAATATCCATAAAATTGTGGTCAGTTGAGCAAAGTTTGTAGGCACAAGGCATATCACGAAGCAATGAGACAAAAAAACAAAAAGTAAATTATTGTATTGAGATTGTTATTTCCCGCAGACGTTTTCTTTTTGTCTGCCTTCTTTCAACGTTGTCGGTTCAGATCTTTTTATTTTAGTCTGTGTTTTTTCCCTTTCAACACGTGCATCCAAGCTAGCAATATTGGGGCAATCCTGGTCATAACACAGTCACACTACTATTGTGCCATGGAACACTACTATTGTGCCACGGTCACACTACCATTGTGCCACGGTCACACTACCATTGTGCCACAGACACACTACCATTGTGCCACAGACACACTACCATTGTGCCACGGTCACACTACCATTGTGCCACAGACACACTACCATTGTGCCACAGACACACTACCATTGTGCCGCAGACACACCACATTTTCAGACCTGTTTACCCTTAAACTCATAAAATCATACAATATCATCACAAAATTGTTCAGTACATCATCTTAATAGTAAATAATTAACATACAGTATATATAATGTATACATCTTAAAAGCGTACATTGTACGCCAAATACGTAAGAGTAAACAGGTCTGCATTTGTGCTACAGACACACTACCATTGTGTCGCAGACACACTACCATTGTGCCACAGACACACTACCATTGTGCCACAGACACACTACCATTGTGTCACGAGTACACCCCTGTTTTGTAGATCATATCTTTATAAAGAAACTCTAGCATATTAGTTTAACTATAACAGACACACTACCATTGTGTCACGAGTACACCCCTGTTTTGTAGATCATATCTTTATAAAGAAACCCTAGCATATTAGTTTAACTATAACAGACATACTACCATTGTGCCACAGACACACTACCATTGTGCCATGAGTACACCCCTGTTTTGTAGATCATATCTTTATAAAGAAACCCTAGCATATTAGTTTAACTATAACAGACACACTACCATTGTGCCACAGACACACTACCATTGTGCCATGAGTACACCTCTGTTTTGTAGATCATATCTTTATAAAGAAACTCTAGCATATTAGTTTAACTATAACAGACACACTACCATTGTGCCACAGACACACTACCATTGTGCCATGAGTACACCCCTGTTTTGTAGATCATATCTTTATAAAGAAACCCTAGCATATTAGTTTAACTATAACAGACACACTACCATTGTGCCACAGACACACTACCATTGTGCCATGAGTACACCCCTGTTTTGTAGATCATATCTTTATAAAGAAACTCTAGCATATTAGTTTAACTATAACAGACACACTACCATTGTGCCACAGACACACTACCATTGTGCCATGAGTACACCCCTGTTTTGTAGATATTATAAGTTATTTAGGAGACGCTTTTGTTCTCGACAATAAACACGAGGTTGGCAGAGAGAGTCATTATCACACTATCATGTCATCTAAGGTCTAAGATCACAAAAGGAAGTGGTAATGGGACCAAACACGTATGTAGTATGTAGTCTTCATCATTAGACTGAAAAGAAAAACTTTGGCAATAGGAACCCTAAATCAGGAAGTAACATAAATCAGTAAGAATAACAAGGTTCTATTTGCCTATTTAATCCAATCAACTTAGAACCTTGTTATTCTAAGGGGACGAAATGCTTTTGGCCTCACCAATAACAATGTTTCAACCTAAAAAAGAAAAATTAGTTTGGTTCCATAATCTTAATGAAAACAGCAGAATTTAAATTCAGGGGAAAGAAAACCTGGAAAAAAAAAAGAGAAAAAAAACAACCAAAAAAAACACAACGAATGTGTCGGCAAGAATCGTTCATCAACGAAGAAACAACAGTAAAAATAGAATCAAATACAAATAGCACTAAGCACTTCATTATTTGAGTGTGCAGTGATGGATGGATGGTCTGAGACGAAGGAAGTTGTGAAGCAGGTATAAAGTCATACATTGGCTGTAGCACCACAGTGATGGATGGATGGTCTGAGCGGAAGGAAGGGGTGAAGCAGGCTAAAGTCCTACATCGGCTGTAGCACCACAGTGATGGATGGATGGAACCCCAACAACCATTCATTTACAAACCTGGCAATTTTTTTCATGGCTCTTCTTATGGAAAAGAAACATATTTTTTTAGTTAATAGGCTTCATAAGATACTGGAATGTATTGGGGGGGGGTTAATTTTAAGTGTATCTCTTCTAGCGTTCTTCTACTTCTTCTTCTAGCTTTATTATGAACACTAGCTACAGCCTGCCAAACAGTGGCAGCAGCAATGTGTGAACTTTTCATCTACTAAAGGTCCAAGACAAAACATGCATTGAAGAAATGTATTTGATAAGATTCCCAATTATTGCAACCCCCCTACCTCTTCTTAAAAGTGATCCTTTTTCAGTATTGATAAATACTCTTAATATATATATCTTTCATCTTGTATTTGTTTGAAGGAAATGTAAGGAACTGTACTGTCTAGCACCCTTGACATAAATGGTTGATCCGAAGTGAATGTCAGGGCTAGAATTGGAAAGGCTAGGTCAGCATTTGTGCTATTAAAGAAAATATTGAAGCCAAAGGAGCTGACTCTGCAAACCAAAGTCAGAATTTTTAATGCAAATGACAAAACAGTCCTGCACTAAGAAGCCGAACAATAGCGAGCATCATTCAGAAAGTACAGACCTTCATAAACACTTGTCTTAGAAGGAGCTTGAACATCAAATGGCCAAAAACCATCACCTACAAAAAGTTACTGTAAAGGACATCCATGGGTCTATTGCTGAAGATGTCATAAGGAAAGCATGGAGGTGGATAGGGCTCACTCTTTGCAAACCCCAAGATAACATCAGCAGATAATCCCTAAAATGGAATCCACAAGGAAAAAGAAAGAGAAAGCCTAAGAAACCATGGAGATGCGAGCTAGAGGCAGACACGCAAAGTATGGGATACACATGGAAGCAAATGGAAAGGAAAGCACAGTACCGAGATAAATGGAAAATTCTTGTAGACGGCCTAAGCCCCATATGGTACAGTAAGTAAGTAAGTACTGCCCATGCAAGATTAACAATTTTATTTTCATTTTATAACATGCAAAGTAAAAAAAATAAAGAAGCTCTGTAGTTTGGTTATTTGAGATTCAGATGGTAATCAATGCAAAAAAAAATGTAAAAATTTCTTATCAAACTTTCCTAGCAGATGATGCAGTGGTTCAATGAGACAAACAACATGTACAGATATGTGGGATCACTTGCTTTAATATATGAAAATATTTAATATAAAATAGAAATCCATTCGGCACATTTTGGTGATTAGATTATAAGAAAATGTAAATGTGTAGGGGGTAGCACTGTGGTAAGGCTTAAACATTAAATATGGGTACGGTAGTGAGAAAATAAAAATGTTGGATCAAAATTTTACCACCAAGAGCAAAAAAAATAAAAATAAAAATCCTTAACTTGCAGCTTCATGTTGAGAAAACTCATGAGCTGTAAACATTAAATTTGTAGAATTTTTTGTTTCAGATAAAAAAATACATTTTGATTTATACAAAAAAAAAAAAAAAAAAAAAAAAAAAAAAAAAAAAACATTAAAAAAAAAAAAAAAAAAAAACCCTAACATGTAAATTTAAATTGAAAAAACTCAAGAAACTAAAAAAATAAATTTTAAAAATTTTTTGTTACAAAAAAAAAAATACATTTTAAATAAAAAAAAAAAAAAAAAAAAAAATGTGTAAATAGTAAAAAGCACCTTATACCAAACAATAGTATATTTATATCAACAGCAACACTAGTTCAAACAATACGGGTAAACTGTAAGTATAACAACAGGGAGTAGCAGGTATAAAACTGAGATAAGAAATTGAAATAAGTCTTTTGATTACATGCTGGTTAATAATACCATAATGTGAATATACTTATCCATCATACCATTTGATGCAGTTAACTTCAGTGTAAGTGTTACATGATTTATAGCCTAGTTTAGCCGTCCATTCCTTGTTTACATTCATTTTATTTGTCTATGACTTTTAATCTTTTATTGTTGGGTTGCAGAAATTCCCAATGGCATATGGCAATTTCACAGTCATATGTGATATAGAAATATATTCTATAAATACACACAGTCCAAAATAATTTATGATTACACAGTGGTACATGATTTGTAAATACACACATTTTGAGGGGAAAAAGTGGCTTGGCAGGTGAATAAATTTGATGGTTAATAATTATAATTGCACTTTTCATAAAAAACTTTGGTCAAAGTTTTAAAAAAAATCATTAGTCCCATTAGTTAAAAAAATTATGTATGTCTCTGATATTAAACTTTTTAACTGTTACATCTCTGACATGAAACAATAATATATATGTACATATTTTTTATAACTTTGATTTCAATAATTTCAACTTGTGGTGAAGTGGTTTACGATCTTTTTGCTTTGAAATCTCCATAGCAACAGTGCAAGCTTTCAACATGGCGTCCAGGTGATGGTATGGGACAAACTTGTTGACAGGCAGATAAAGCACATGATCTATTAAATACTTGGCCTCGTGTGGGTAAAGTTTGTCCAGAGGTTCTGATCCCTGCATTAAAATTCACTCTTTTTAAACCATTAGTTATTAGTATAGCACAGGTTATATTTAAATCTTTATAAAAATTGTAGTATAGTTGGATTTAAGCAACAGTAGAGTTGGGTTTAAGTTACAGTGTAATTAGGTTTAAGTAATAGTATCGTTAGGTTTATGTAAAAACAGTGTAGTTAGGTTTAAGTAACAGTGTATTAGTTAGGTTTAAATAACAGTACAGTTGGGTTAAAGTAACAGTATAGTTAGGTTAAAGTAACAGTTTATTTAGGTTTAAGTAACAGAATAGTTAGGATTAAGTAACAGTATTGTTAGGTTTATGTAACAGTATTGTTGTGTTTAAGTTAAATGACATTACTATGTACTTTACAACTTTAAGTCATCAAACCAACATAAATAATCATAATTACTGAAGGGAAAAAAAGTATGACTAGGCCTACAAAAGGTATTTTTAATTGAGAAATATTAACTGTTTAGCTTGTGTAACATTAACTGTTTAGCTTGTGTAACATTAACTTTTTAGCTTGTGTAACATTAACTTTTTAACTTGTGTAACATTAACTTTTTAGCTTGTGTAACATTAACTTTTTAACTTGTGTAACATTAACTTTTTAGCTTGTGTAACATTAACTTTTTAGCTTGTGTAACATTAAAAAATTCTTTTAAAAAATCATTAAAAACTTTAAACTAATTTTTCTTACAGAAATCGTTAAAACAAACTTCAAAATTATGAAAAATTATTATTTATTGATGACATACAGCCGCAGATATTATACATCAAATAATGTTATTTCAAACGTTGCTAATTAAAACCTTTGTGATCATGTTTAAAAACAGGGACAGTGTGCTGACACTAAAGACAACATTGAACAATCCTAGCATTACCTCATGGCATGGCTCAACAAGGTTAAGTTGTGTGGCGCCACGATAAGCATCCACTCCCAGCAGATTTAATATATTCCCCAACTCATCAGGCTCATCCTGGGGAAACAGAGATAACCATGATTATAAGAAAGAAAATCGCTCATCATCACCCTCCCCAAAAAAGGTAACCTACAGCTATGCCAGAACTATCGCACCATTAGTCTAATAAGCCAACCAAGCAAGGTCATGATGAAGGTCATATTGAACCGACTAAAACCATATGCTGACAGAATCATTGCTGAAGAACAGGCGGGCTTCAGACAAGGACGAGGCACTACTAAGCAGCTCTAAACCTCTGAATACTATGTGAGAAATATGCTCAACACCAACAAAACCTATACCAAGTCTTTGTGGACTTCAAGAAAGCATTCGACATGCTGTTTTATGGGCCACCATGAAGCACTACAACATCAACACAAACCTAACCAGCATGATATGCAACCTCTATGATAAGGCCACCAGTGCAGTCTTCCTCAACAACAACATCGCAGAATGGTTCAAGACCACGGTTGGAGTACGACAAGGCTGGTTGGAGTGCGACAAGGCTGCCTGGTCTCCCCCACCCTGTTTAACATCTTCCTAGAGAGAATTATGTCAGATGATCTGGAAGTGCATGAAAGGACAGTCAGCATTGGTGGCAGAACAATCACCAACCTACGCTTTGCGGACGACATAGGCAGATTGGCTGGGAACGAAAAAGAGCTAGCCAACCTGGTGAAGCGCCTCGACAAGACCTTGTCGTCCTACGGCATGCTAATCAGTTCCGAAAAGACAAAACTGATGACAAATAACACCACAGGCATCATCACTGAAATTAAGGTCAGGGAGGAAAGACTAGAGACTGTAGGCCACTTCAAATACCTAGGAGCAATCGTCTCAGAAGAAGGCTCCAAGCCCAAACTGATGTACAGAATTGTGCAGACTACAACAGCACTAAAGAGGCTCAAGAAAATATGGAATGACAAAAATATAGCCCCCAGCACCAAAATCAGGCTGATGCGCTCATTAGTCCTCTCCATTTTCCTGTATGCCTGTGAATCCTGGACATTACCAGCAGATCTTGAAAGGAAAATAAAGGCGATGGAGATGGAATGCTTCAGAAGCATTTTTGGCATCTGCTATACTATAGGGACCATATCTCCAATGATACAGTGAAAGAAAGGGTTCGCCAGGCAATTGGGGAGTGCGATGACCTACTGATGACTGTGAAAAAACGCAAACTACATTGGTACGGCCACGTAACAAGGAAACAAGGGCTTTCCAAAGAAATATTGCAGAGCACCACAAGAGGAGGGAGAAGAAGAGGAAGACAAAGAAAAAGATGGGAGGATAACATCAAAGCGTGGACAGGACTAACGCTGGGCAATGCTGTGCGTAGTGCAGAAGACAGAGACGAATGGAGGAGGATAGTTCACATGCCGTCTGTGGCGCCCCAGCGGTCCAAGGACTAAGGGACATGATGATGATGATGATGAAAATTTAAAAATTCCAACTGATATGTTAGTACTTTTAGGGAATATTGCCAGGAAAAAAAATCGGTTTGTGCAAAGAATTGAAATAAATATTGCATAAAAGAAGTAAGCTTTGTTCAAAGAAGTGAAACCGGTACAGTATTCAAGAAGTGAAATCAATACAGTATCCAAGAAGTGAAATCAATACAGTATCCAAGAAGTGAAATCAATACAGTATCCAAGAAGTGAAATCAATACAGTATCCAAGAAGTGAAATCAATACAGTATCCAAGAAGTGAAATCAATACAGTATCCAAGAAGTGAAATCAATGCAGTATCCAAGAAGTGAAATCAATGCAGTATCCAAGAAGTGAAATCAATACAGTATCCAAGAAGTGAAATCAATACAGTATCCAAGAAGTGAAATCAATACAGTATCCAAGAAGAGAAACCAATATAGTTTCAAAGGCGTTAAATTAATAAAGTATCACAGAGGTACAGTTTCAAAGAATTGAGGTTTGTTGAAATCAGTAACATCAATATAGTATCAATAAGAGATTTATGTGTAAAGGAGTGATAATAGCTGATGTGCATTTTACATCAGCTAACTTAAGATTCAAGTTCATTTTCTCTTTGTCTTATAGTATAGAGTTATGGGACTTCTCTAGACTAACATGTTAAGATCAACACTTGCCAACTAAAAAAATATCCAAGGCAGAGTGAATCTTTACATTACACATGTTTTGAATCACACACTTTTTCACAAGTGATCATTTCCATTCCAACCTGCAAGTTATGATCCCCCCCCCAACCCCACTTTACACCAAATCTTTATATTTTCTCTAACATTTACATATCTGTAACATCCTGTTTTCTCCAATTATCAAATTTTGTCCCTGGAACTGATTTAGAATACAACTACACTACAGGACAAAGATACATTTTTAAAAATAGTCCTAAATTATGTGTTTGTTGGCTGATAAAGGGTTTCCTGCAGAGATGTCTAATCTTGTCATATATTTAAGTTTCCCTGATTTGGTGTTTTTTTTTCTAACTTTACCACAAACCATCCACTAATGTTAAAATATAAAATGACTTATCCCAAAATATCCCCTCCACATTCTCTACAGTTAAATTAACTAACCACAAAACATCCCTTCATCCTTGCCGTCAAAGTAACTTACCACTAGAACTGGAAAAAGCCAGTAGTTGTTGGTCATTGCCATATTCCCCACAGGTTCATAGCCAACAGGAAGTTTGCTCAAGATGTAGTCTCCCTTCTTTTTCTGTATCTCAAACTCTGATTGGGTGAAACCTTGCTGACGATACAGCATTGTCGATAGTAGGGCTGTACTTGGCTGCCATCGAATCATTTCGAGCATTCGCTCAGGGAACCCACGCATCCACCTGACAAAGTGAGCCTTATAATCGACCCCAAACCTATTTAAAACTTCTCTACCAATTTTCGGGAGGGGGCCAACATGAAGCCAGGAATAGATAAAAGAATATTTAACAATTTTTTTTAAATACATATCTGCTGTTTGGATGGGGTAGTTTCTGTGTATATTTTGCATGCTTTGATACATTTCAATGTCTCTGATCTTAGCAATGCACCCCCCAAAAGAGGTATAAAATTTGATGACTCCAAAACTGAAAAGTGCAACATCTGATGATGGATGTCCCATGTTTTGAAAACCACAGAAAGATTCAGCACAATCTTCAATAACGACTAATCTATGCAAATGGGCAAATTCAATGATCGGCTCCATATTAATAATCCTACCATACAAATGAGCAACAATGATGGCAACGGTTTTTGTGGTGATTAACTTAGGTAGGATGTCCAACTTTGGTTCTAATGTTTCAATGCTCACATCAAGTGAAACGATGACTAAATTATGGCTTTTCACTATTTTGCCCATGTCAGGAATATTAATTGCAGACATGATGATCTCAGATCCCTTAGGGAAGTTTTTAGCAGAGAGGAATAAGTCCAATCCAGTTCTGACAGAGAGCAGGGGCATGACATGGTTGGTGTTTTTATCTGACAACCACAAGCCTTGCAAGTCTTCCTCCACCTTCTTTCTATATTTCTCATCTTGGTGACACAAGCACTGCTTGGCTGCATACCACAAATGGTGACAACTTGTATCTGACATTTAGAAATACAAAGACAAATAACTAGATTGGGGAGGAAATAAGTAAGATTATCAGCACTTTATTGATTTAATTATCCCTATACTTTACTATTTAATTACCACTATACTTTGACTATTTAATTACCACTATACTTTGACTATTTAATTACCCCTATACTTTAACTATTTAATTACCACTATACTTTTACTATTTAATTATAACTATACTTATACTATATAATTATCACTATGATTTGACTAATAAGTATTAGTAACACCAAAATAAACTAAAATATATAAATTATTGAAATTACCATTATCTCTATAAATGCTGAACTGTGTATTATTTCATTAAATAATCATAAATACAATAAAATATTCAGCCATTAGGTATATACTTCTCTTGAAATTTAAAAAAAAATTTTTTAAAGCCAACTTACCAACAATTATAGGGGAATAAGGAAGTACAGGGAAATTCATGAGGGAAATCAGATGATTTTCATAATACCCTAAAAATAAAATGTGAAATACATTAAAAATAACAGGATTCGGGTAGATAAAAAAAAAATAAATAAAATAACAGGCGAATGCCATTCACACAGTACCTCAAAAGATATTCAATTGGCCAGCTACTAATATGTAATAAACTTTAACTAAATTAAGAATTTTTAAAATCTTTTCAATCGCAGTCATACGCCTATATTCTAAATTATAGTAACTGTGAGTATGGTGATGATTTGTAACAGGTTGTAAAAGCAGTTGAGCCAATGTTACACACCTGGATTAACAGCAACATGAAAATCATGATTACCAGTAAGCTATAGTCAATAATGCCTATATTATTATTATAATTATAGTGAGGTCATTCTAAGACTAAACCAAACAAGAAAAAAAAAAATATTTGTACCTATTAATGCGTAAGGATTTTATCTCCTTAAAGTAGAGATTGGGTCTTATTATCATTAACTAACAATACGCAGACTAATAAACATAATCAATAAAAATAAGGTCATAGTTGATACATTTTAAGCGACTAGGCCACTTTAAATAATAATTAATATATTTACTAGTTAAGCTTTAATAGACCTAGTATACGACCTGCAGGGTTTCAAAACCTTTTCTTTGTTCTGCACCCTTACAAACTGTTTGAATGAATAACTGACACACGCCCTACATATTTTTTACCAAGTCTCACAGCCTAGACAAAAGTAACAATTCCATTTAATTTTCATGGTAAAATTAGATTGATCGGGTCAGAGATTTCACAACACAGCCTATACCAAAAGCATTTACCCCATGCCTCGACGTTTATAATCACGTTTGGGGTTAGACAAGATGGTTTTAGTTTTATCGTTCATATGTAGTGAAGAGTTCTATGATCCCGTCAATCCAATTCATTCAATTTTTAATAATTATCACATAATGCCTTACAAAGAGAAATGTAGAACTCATCAATAAACTGGTGACTTATACATATTAAGTAAAATGTTAATGGTGAAGTCTCAGAGATTAAATTCAGATTTTTGGGTGGGCAGTGCCAGTAGGCAGAGATGTAGCGGGGGGGGGGAGGAGACTAGCAAGTCACCAAAATGGGCTTTGATGGTATTTAATGGATGAAAAAAAAAATAATGGCTTTCAGAGTTGAGGGTGGGGGAGTAAAAATTTTGGTCTATACTATAAACCATACTATACCTATATATTTATATATATATGCATTTTTTCTTTAGGTACATATTAGGGTATATATATATATATATACACACAACCAAAAATGCATCAACCCATATAAAAAATATTTACTGGTGCTATTAAATTATTTGCTTTACTAGAGTGTATTATGGTGAATTTCTAGTGTAAATCAAGTAATTTACTACAAAAACTTCTTATCGATAATATGTAATTTGGCTCTCCTCAAAACGGTGGTCCCAAATGTCAACTTAATGTTAGAAAAAACCCAGTTACCACCCTAATACTAATAGCCACATTTAGTTGGTGACGTCTTCCCGGTTTCCGGTAGGCAAGTCTGTTGTGGCTTGTCGATTAGGAAGCGTCGGCCACCGACCCCTCTGCATGTGCCAGGAAACAGAACTACTGGGCACGCCTCGAGTCGGCAGACAAAGGGTGCGCTCGGTATCTGCCGTACATAAAACAGCTCCCACAGGGCTGCCAGTTGTGATACTTCACAGCCGGAAAATTAGGCAGAGCCAGGGTAGGGATCATGATTACAAGTTGCCGGTGACGGGTATGAGGCCAGAGGCGAAGGTGGTAACCTCTGGCCGAGGATTCAAACAATGCAGCCTTGAGAAAGCTGTCCCTAGGCAACCGTTTCATCCCAGCTACAGCGCGAGCTAGTTGTGTTGTGGAAACCCACTGTGGAATCCCTCTTATAGGGCGTCCAACGCTTTTCCGGGATGGGTGGGGGAAGATATTAGGACGTAAATTTTCCATCCTGACTCCATAAGAAAGTCGATCGTGTGCACTATTTAAACCCTTAGTGTCGGACCGACCGGGTGCCTACTGGTTGGGGCGGCCCCCTGGTCGAGCGCCCAGGCGCCCGGGTGGGAGGCCCGGGTGGGGGCATCCCCGACGTGCCACTCTGCGGCCCGATGCGTCGGGCCGGGGAGGGGTGATAAAGAGTGCAAACTCGCCCTGCTGACGCCATTTCTTGATGTAATAATTTAGTTGGTGACGTAATTGTTAATTGGTGTAAAAAAATCAGAAACAACACTGACACTACCCTTGGTAAATTAAAAAGTAGAGGTCGCCATTTTGACAGCAAAATTTAAATTTGGATACCCGATTTCCTGGTTTTCTAGAGTGATACCAAAGTCCCTAATAAATAGCCTAATAATTAATATGAGGTAAAAGTGGAGTTCAGGTGCGTATATTATTTCTGTTTGAATTTCGTATTTTCGCGTGTAAACTTATGTTAATTCTTTATAAAAAGTATTATAATCGTAAAGTACCATCTTTTTATTGGAATACAACAATTTAATAAATTTTACGAGATAAAAAAAGGACATTTTCATGAATCTTTTGTCTTTTACGGAGCCATTGTGGTAAATCAAGGATAACTCTTCTGTCTTTAAAAATATGTTATAAAAGTTGCCCAATTGGATGAATCTTGGTTAAAATAAATGTTGATCCCGAGCCCGGTGAGATCCCAATCCCGGTAGAATCTTGATCCCAGTGAGATCCTGATCCCGGTGGGATCCCGATCCAGTTGGTTCCCCCAAACCGGTGGGATACCGGTTCCGGTGAGATCCCGTTTCCGGTGAGATCCAGATCCCGGTAGTTATAGGGACCTCTCATACTTGACATACGGAGCCAGTTTACAAGCCGCATAGCAATGGTTACGAGCGCCTTATGAGAAATTACATAGTTGTATCAACGTTATTTGTTGCCTCACAAAGTTCGCGTATAAACCAAATGCTGCACCATTTAAAATTTCCATTGGATCAACAATTTCAATTATTGTCTCTTGGTCGTCCTGCCAGTTTGAACAATGATCCCACTACCAGCAATACCGCAAAAAGGGTCTGTATTATTCTATTTAATCACTCGCCCTCACCCTCATTTACCTCAGCACAAATCAGTCACCATTAATTAGCGCATTTGCATAAGAAAAAAGGGGAGGGGGTGCTCAAATTAGAGCTGACCAATCACAGTCAACGTATTTGCAGCCATCAGTATGAGATGACTATCAATAAATGATCAGAGTTCCCCCATTCTTGCAACGTCATAAATATTTTTTTTAAAAGTGGACACGTGATCACACATTGGCAGATATTCGTGGACATCCCCCCTTTTTTTCAGCTTCACTCCATCCGATCTGGGGGGGGGGGCGCTCGTGCGTAATGAAAAATCTAAATTTCATTCTTTTTTGTGAACATGCCTAGAGTTTGAAAATTTCGTTTAGCATACTAACTTGTAGGTGGTTAAAAATCTGGCCGAAAAAAAAATACAAAACAAATGGGGCTATGTAACTTTGGTTGAGGGATGTTTAAAGACTCTTTAGAAATCAAATAAAAAGAAAAAGGCGATTTAAAATTCATTATTAGTTAACTATAACTGCCTGTATTTAATTAATAAAGAATTCACGTAAGTTTACATGATGAAATGCGTTAAGAAATAAAATACGCACCTGAACTCCACTTTTACCCTAATCTAATGACTAATCATTCATTAGATTCTAATGTCAAAGTCAATGTAGTACAAACAAGGGATGGGAAAACTTTAAAAAAGGATACAACAATAAAGTAAAGGTAAGCCATTGGCTAAGTTTAATTTTAAGTTTTAAGGACTGAGTAAAGTTTCAGACTAAACTAAACTAAGATTTAATAGTAATAGTAATAGGTTACAGTCCAGTCTAGTCAAAAACTTGGACACTTTAATTTATTTATTATATATATATTATATATATATTAATATATTATATAAATATAAGTAAGTAAGTGATAAGTAAGTAGGGTAGGTTCTAGTCTCACCAGGCTAAATTAAGTGTCGAGGCCAGGTACCGGATTTCTGTTTCCAAGAAATTACCTGCAATAACTTGTTAGTGGTGTGGCTTCCTGCGAAAAATTGTCATCCCTATACTAAACAAAACCCTAACACCAACAACACCACAGACAAATTGCGGTGTGACTATTTCCCGAGATATTACAGTACCGGTACTTATAATTTATTGTGATCCAATATCTTACTAAGCTTTTTTCTTACAATTAAAAGTGTATATTGGCATTGTTAGTAAAAGCCTTTTTTCTTTGATATATAGGAAAACTGCACTATTTCATGAAATAAGCATATTGGTATATCATGACGCCTAATTACTTGAATATCATTTTTTTTTTAAATCTAAGATCTGCTAAGAGAAAGATGGCTAATGAATTTTATGGTAATGGTAGAGTTAGAGTGGGGTAAAAGTGTATTTATAATTATAAGTATAATTATTGATATTTACAAAATAATTATAATATTAATTGTTTGTGATTTATCAATATAGCTAGCTATTAGAGTCTAAT